TATTTATCCAGTAGCCTACACAAAAGTTCAGATCAACTATTTAAAAGACAAATTATAACAAATTCCCTTTATTACAAATTCTTTTTAAACTAATACTAAGTTGGTTTTCTAATACAAAACAATTATGCCTATGAGAAAACTCACCTTATTAATCTAAAAATAAGCTATGAACAAAAGTTAATATAAAGAATAAAGTCCACCCAATTATTCGTTAACAATTAAAAAAAGTAATGATGAAAACACTAATGATGTCATTCCATAAGCACACTTTTTTTTAAATATAAAATTTATTCTTGCTCTAGAATTTCCTGCCTTGGAGTACGTTTGAAGAAAAGTACTGCTTCTCTACAATAGGGTTCTTTTCATACAGAATACAAAGCACTATTTTTATAACTAACTTATAACTACTCTAAATTATAAACATTTTACATGAAAAACCATGGAGAAGAATAAATACTAAAATAAGACCCCCCAAAATCATTACTGACATAATGAAATACCTAGTAAATCAAAGGAATTAGCTTTACTACTACAGTAGAACCTTGACATGTATGAATTTACTAATATCTCTACCAGAGCAGTACTACTCAGAAGCCTAGCATATAATAATTTGTAATTTCGCTAAAGTGAAAATAGGATGCCTACCTTTAATAAGAGTAGTATGTATATATAAGTTACTTATCTGGTACTCAGGGCAAAAAGACTATCCACAACTGCATCCTATTAAGGCTTTATTGATTTCTATAGTTATCTCATATGAGATAATAGTTGTGAAGTGAGAGAAAATGCTGGTGCTGGTGTCAAAAGTGAACAGCTAAAGGTGTCTAAGAAAATCATGGTTCTAGGCCACAAAACAAATTTTGGACAAACCATTTCTTTAAATGTCAAATCTGGAAGCAGCTTGGATCTCTGATACATATGAGTGTGTGCGTGTGTAATCAAAAAGTGACCAGTGGAATGATGTCAATTATTGTCTTCTGCCAAACTCAGTCTGGGGAGACAAAATAACTAAATGCAATGTAGTTCTCTGGATTGGATTCTGAAGCAGAATGAGGACATGAATGGAAAAACTAATGAAATCCAAATAAAAATCTGGAGGTTAATAAACAGTAGTGTACCAACGTTGGTTTCTTAGTTCAGACAAATGGACCACAATAAAAAAAATGCAACAATGGATAAAAGTGGGTAAGAGATATAGGAGAATTAGCTGTACTATCTTTGTAACTTTTCTTTAAATCTAAATTTAATCCAGGGGTGCCTGGGTGGCTCAGTCAGTTAAGCGTCTGCCTTTGGCTCAGGTCAGGATCCCAGGGTCCTGGGATTGAGCCCCGCATCAGGCTCCTTGCTTTGGCAGGGAGCCTGCCTCTCCCTCTCCCTCTGCCTACTGCTCCCCCCATTTGTGCTCTCTCTCTCTCACTATCTCTCTCTCTCTCTGTCAAATAAATAAATAAAAATCTTTTTTTAATCTAAATTTCATCCAAAATAAAATGCTTACTCCAAAAAATTAACTAGACGCAGGAGGAAACGAAATAACACTAGCAAAAACCAAGAAAAAGACAACAAAAACAGACATATTTAGTTATCAGACACAGATTTTTAGATAAACATAGATATAAATATATTTACTGGGCGCCTGGGTGGCTCAGTCAGTTAAGCGACTGCTTTCGGCTCAGGTCATGATCCTGGAGTCCCGGGATCGAGTCCCGCATCAGGCTCCCTGCTCAGCGGGGAGTCTGCTTCTCCCTCTGACCTTCTTCCCTCTCATGCTCTCTCTCTACCATTCTCTCTCTCTCTCTCTCAATAAATAAATAAAAATCTTTATAAAAAAATTTAAAAATATATATATTTACTACATTTGGGGAGATAAGAGACAAGACTGAGAATGCTGACAAAGAACTGGAAACCATATAAAGAATAAAATGGTGTGCATCTGTCAATTGTTTTTAAGTTGAAAGGGGAAAATCAGTATCCATATAGCAGAAAAACCTGGAGAATACCTTGATTGGTCATCAGAATCACTAATGAATGACAGAGAGACACTGTCTGCTTCTGGTTGTGATGCCCCACAAAGAAAAAACATGCATTTAAGTAACATTCAGACCAGAGATACATACCCTGCATCTAATCATAAAAAAAAACAAAAACACAAAATTAGGGGCATTCTGCTTATTTTCAAAGGGAGAGAGAGCCTTTATTCTACAAAACTGTCTAAAAAGGCAGAGAAACTACTTCAAATTGAATGAGAGTAAAAAGATATGACAAGTAATGCAATGCCTTATCCTGATGAGATCTTGGAAACAAAGGGGAAAATTCCACAAAGGAAATTACTGGGTAATTGACAAAATTTGGAAAATGGTAGATTAGATAAAAGCATTATATCAATGTTAATCTGTTTGAGGTTGATAACTATACTGTGGTTATGTAAAAGAATCTCCTTGTCCTTAAGAAATACACATACACACTAAAAGTGTCGCCTGAGTGGCTCAGTCAGTTAAGTGTCTGGCTTCGGCTCAGGTCATGATCCTGGAGACCTGGGATTAAGCCCCGCATCGGGCTCCCTGCTCAGTGAGGAGCCTGCTTTCTCCCTCTTCCTCTGCCACTACCCCCTGCTTGTGTACTCTCTGTCAAATAAATAAATAAAATCTTAAAAAAAAAGAAAATGGAACAGGGTATTATACTAAGTGAAATGAGTCAGACAGAGAAAGACAAATAGTATTTGTTTTCACTGATATGTGGAATCTAAAAGACAAAACCAACCAACCAAATAAACAAACAGAAACAAATTCACAAATACTGAGAACCAACTGGTGGCTGCCAAAAGGGAGGGGTTTGGGGGATGGGCAAAACAGGTAAAGGAGATCAAGAGGTACATACTTTCAGTTATAAAATAAGTCACAGAGATAGAAAATACAGTATAGGGAATATAGTCAGTAATACTGTAATAATGTTGCATGGCAACAGATGGTGACTACACTTACCATGGCGAGCAATGAGTAGGTTGTATACCTGAAATTAATATAGCATTGTATGTCAACTGTACTTCAATAATTTAAAAAAAAAAAAAAAGGGAAGAAAAAAGAAAACCACTCCTAGGCACATCAGTATAAACCTAGAAAATTAAAAAAAAGGAGAAAAAAGACAGATCACCTTTAAGGAAGCAGCAGACTAACAACTGACTTCTCACCAGAAATAATTCAAGGAGCCAGAAGACAATGAACTATATTTGAAAGTGCTGAAAGAAGATAACTGCCAACCTAGAATTCTACTCCCAGCAAAAATATCCTACAAAAAATAAAGACAAAATGAGGATATTTTCACATAAAGATAAGTAAATCTGCCACAGGAAGGAAATGATAAAGAGTCTTCTCCAGACAAAAAAAAAAGGTTATCCCATCTAGAAGAAAGTGAGGGATGAAGGAAGGAAAGAAAATCAATGTAATGATCAAATATGTAAGTAAACCTAAATAGTGGTGACTACATAAAACAATAATAATGTCTTGTGGAGTTTAAAATACATACGCAGGTGAAAAGAATCTAATGCTCTTGCACTGTCCAAGAAGAAAGTAAAAGTACCAATTGACATCAAACTTAAATTGATAACTGAATCTTTAAGGTAACCACAGAAAGAATTACAAGAATATGTAATTTCCAGGTCAAAAAGAAGAGCTATGGAATAATAAAAAATGTTTTTGATCAATCTAAAATAAAGCAAGAAAGGAAAAAGAACACAGAACAGGCAGGACAATTAGAAAGTACATTGTAATATGTTATATTTAAATCCAAATATATCATTGGTTGAATTAATGTGGATTAACCAACATCTCCCTTAAGAGAAAAAACTTGTCTGAATGAATAAAAGAAGAAAGCTCAATATATTCTATTAACAGTATAATCATATAGAAATGCTGAAAGTAAAAGAATAGAACAAATCATACTATGCAAACACTAATCAAGAAAAAGTTAGGGTAGCTATAGTAATATTAGACAAAGTCAGCTATCAAACAAAAGACATTATTAGAAATAAAGAGGACATCTCATTATCGTGAAACAGTCAAATTCACCAGGAAGATAAAGCAATTCTAAATTTCAATGTATCTTATAAAATAGCCTCTAAATATATAAAGCAAAAACTGTCAGGAACAAGAAGGAGAAACAGACAATTCAATAATCCTAGTGTGAGATTTAATCATATCTTTCTCAGTAAATAATTTCTTTAAAATAAAAAAGGATAAAATATTTGAGTACCACCATTAACTAAACTGCACCCAATAATTTCAGAATCCACATTATTTTCAGGTGAAATCCAAAACATTCACCAAAATTGATCATATGCTGAACTATAAGGCAAATCTCAAAACTATCAAAAAAATAACTTGTAAGATGCAGAAAAATTGGGAAACTGAAAAGATTAAAAGAATAAATATTTATAACCCATCAGCAGAAAACAAATATTTAGTATATCTCTAATCAACATTTCTCCAAAAGAGTATATATAGTTTGTTTGTTTTGACCTTAAAAGCCTAAGAATTATCTCCTTATTCTTAAACCAACCTTTATAAACTTTATTTTAATGACTGTAGAAATCTAAAATTTGTATTTCACTTCCTGTACAACCCTCTGAGGATAGTTTGTTTTAACAGTCTCATTCCCCAAAGAGTGCCTAGGACTGAAATAATTTCACATGTTAATTCAAAAAGTAAATTTAGGTCTAGAAAGTTTTTAATAAGTAGTGCACAGAGGCATTACTCTCTCATGTATTTTAAATAAATATGTTTCCTCCACAAACTTTCCTTTATCTGACTGTTCTTGATAAGTATTCAAGTGTTCTTACCTCTTAATTAAAGAGTATGACAGCCTAGAGGAATGTAAACTTTCTTTTTTTCTAAATCAAATAAACCATTTAATAAATAAATATATAACGCTGTAGCATCAATTCAGATCCCTAATAGAACTTCCCTTTCTAAAATATCACACAGAATAAATGTAACATAGTCACTTACCACTTGATCTGTTTTTACGACTCGATTTCCCTCCAGTAAGAAGCATCTTGAGACTATTCCGAAACATGGTTGTGGTGTTCTAGTACTCAAAAAAACTATAAAAGAAAAAATATGGGAAAATACGTTAGAAAACTTGATTTTCTACTCAAAATACTATTAATAATTAATTTTAAATGCACTATCAGGAATTGTGTTTAAATATATAGTACAGAAATTTTTAACAATTTGACAAAAACATCTAATTAATTTAACTTAAATACTATAATACTTTGAGTATCCTAAGAGATAAAGGTAGATATCAATAAGGGTACAAAGAATGTACTCACCATAGAATAAAGTAACCATAGATAAAGAACTGGGTAGCTATAAATACAGCCTACCCTTTCCCTGACTCTCCTATTCGTGGACAACTTTCCCATAGGCCCAACACACACATCCCCAAAGTTTAAGAGTCTAGAAACTTCCAGAAGGTGCACATTTTCCATTGACCAAGCCAGAATTCACCTCAAAGACCACTAATATACATGAATGAGTGCCTATCCTTTTTATGTCCCACTTCTATCAAAAGGAAAATTCTTCCAGTTGTGCTTTGGATTATGTTCTCTCTCACCTCCTCAGGGACTTTTAGCCAAAGACCATCTTCCTTTTCTTTCTCACACAGCTTTAATTTTTTTCTCCCTATTGAATCATTCCAATCATAACAGAAACATGGTAGTATGTCCTAACCAAAAACAAATAAGCAAGTCCCTCTCTTTATTCCCACATGGTCCAATTACTGCTCCTATATCCTAACTCTTCATAGCAAAATTTCTGAAAAGTGTTGTCAGTACTTGGTGCCTCCAGCAGACTGAACAGAATAAACATGAACTAAAATGGAGGCTAACAAAAAATATCCAAACCAAAGCACTGAGAAATAAAGGTTGAAAAAAATGTGAGAGAATATGGAATCCACTGAAAGGTTCTACCATACATATCACTGAAATCCCAGAAGAAAGGAGAAAATAAGAAAGAACCAATATTTGAAATAATAACAACAAAGAATTTCCTAACATAAATCACATCTTTAAAGAGCTAGAGGAAAAAAATAAAAAATTTAAATAAGCAACAATCAACAGACAGAAATAACTTTCAATAGAAATTAAGAATGGCAGAAGACAATGGACTTCCTAAAAATTCTGAAAGAAAACAGGCACCAATCAAGAAATCTATTCATAATTTTAAAATGTTTGAAATGAAAATGAAATAAAGGTGATTTCAGAAAAACAAACAAGAATTTATCAGTAAAAGAAATACTAAAAGGGAATTCTTCCAACAGAAGGAAAATGATACTAGAAAAAAAGCATGGAAATGCGAAAAGGAAAAGCCATAAAAAAGCTAAATGTTGGCAAACATGGATGAACAGTGACCATAAAAATAATTACTAGCTTGTTAAGTTTAAAATATATGTAGATTTAAAATGTGTGAAAACAAGAACAAAAAGATTCAGAACTGGGATAAATGGAGTTAAAGTTTTTAAGATATCTGCATTATGCAGGAAGTGGCAGAAGTAATAATCTGCATCAGACTGCAATAACTCAAAATCAATGTAGTGATTTCTAGGATAGCCATTAAAGGTTAATTGAAGTGAGAAAAAGAATAATTAAAATATTTCATTGAACCAAAGAAGGTAAAAAGTGAGAGAAAAAGCATAGTGCACATCAATAAAATAAAAACAAATAGTAAGATGGTAGCTTTAAACTCAAATTATAGTTATCGTGTTAAATATTCACTCTACTATAAGACTACTTACGGTCATAGAAAGATTAAATATAAGATGATGAGAAAAAGCACATCATCCAAAAAACAATTAAAAGGAAGCTGTCATACCTATACCAATATCAGACAAAGTCAACTTAAGGCAATAAACACAACAAAAGATAAAGAGAGACATTTCTTTTTTTTAAATTTTTTTATTATGTTAATCACCATACATTACATCATTAGTTTTGGATGTAGTGTTCCATGATTCATTGTTTGTGCATAACACCCAGTACTCCATGCAGAACGTGCCCTCTTTAATACCCATCACCAGGCTAACCCATCCCCCACCTCCCTCCCCTCTAGAACCCTCAGTTTGTTTTTCAGAGTCCATTGAAAGAGAGACATTTCTTAATAATTAAAAAGTCAAACCAACAAAAAATATCATACTTCTAAGTATGAATGGACCCAATTAAAAGCTTAAAAATATATAAAGCAAAAATATACAAAACTAATAGAGGATATGGACAAATCCATAATCACATGGAAGACTAACACACCTTTGTCAATAGCTACAAGATCAAGCAGATGAAAAAAAGTTTTTATGAGATACAAATTTGAACTACATAATTGACCAACTAGACTTAATATAGTGTATTCTTTCAAATAAAAACAGAATATACAAATTATACACAAAATACATACCAAAATGAACCACAGGCTGAGTCATAAAGCAAGTCTCAATACATTTCAAAGGACTTAAGTCTTTGAGAATATATTCTCTAACTACAAGGCAATTAAGCTAGAAGTGAATAATTTTTAAAAATTGAGAAACTCCCCTACTGCTTGAAAATTAAGTGACATACTTCTAAATAACCTATGAGTCAAAAAATAAAAGTATATAAATCACAATGGAAATTTTAAAATATATGCAATAAATTATAATGAAAATATAAACTATGGAAACACTGAGAATGAAACTAAAACAATGCTTGTAAACAAATGTAAAGAATGCATGTATTAGAAGAGAAGGATGAAATCAGTATCTAAGCTTCTATTTCAAAAAGTTCAAAACAAACAGCAAATCAAAGAAAGCAAAAGGAAAGAAAAAGAGTAGAAATGAATGAAATAGAAAACAAATCCCAAACAGATAAAATCAATGAAGCAAAACATTTGATTTCTGAAAAGTAGTAAAATTAATAAATCCCTAGCAAAGCTAATCAAAAAAAGAAAAGAGAGAGACAGAGACAGAGACAGAGAGAAACTGCCAACATTAAAAAGGAATAGGGCATAACAATAAAAAATTAAAAAAAAAAAAGGAACAGGGGACACCATTTCAGAACTAAAGGCTGTTTTAAGTAAGTAGATACTATGACAACTTTACACCAAATTTAATGTTTTACATAAAACAAATTCTTTGAAAAATACAACTTATCAAAACTGACGAAAAATTGAGCAGAAAATCTGAAGCAGGCCTATCTCTATTAAAGAAATTGAACTTATCAAAACTCCTCCCAGAAAGAAAACTACAGGCCCAGATTATTTCACTGGTGAAGTCTACTGTTTAAAGGTACAAACAATACCAATTTTATACAGTTTCCTTAATAGAAGGAATACTTCCAAACATATTTTATATGAAGGCAGTATGATCTTAATTCCAAAACCTAACAGAAATTACAAGAAAAGAAAATTATAGACCACATACCTCATGAACACAGACTCAAAAACCCTTAATAAAAGACACTGAAAACTACAAAAGTTACTTTAAAAAATTAAAGAAAACTTAAACAAGTAGAGATATACCATGTTCATAGAGTGGAAAGTTCAATATTGTCAAAATGTTGATTCTCTCTATAATGTCCTAAAGAGAAAACAAAACCTCAAATTCCAGCAGGCATTTTTTTTGTAGAAATTGAGCAGCTCATTCTAAAATGCATATGGTAATACAAAGAGCTTAGAACATCCAAAGCCATCATGGAAACTAACAAAAAAGCTGGAGCATTTATATGACCTGAACTCAAGACTTACTCTATATCTCCAGAAATCATGACAGTATGGTTCTCTCATAAGTATCATCAGACAGATCAGTGACACAGAATAGGTAGTCCAGAAAAAGATCTACACTTACATGGTCATTTTTTTGGACCAAGTCATTAATGAGTAAAGAGAAGTCTTTTCAACAAGTGGTGGTGGAATAGATATTCATTTTTTAAAAAATTATCCCTAATCTGTGCTTCACACTACATATGAAAATTAATTCAAAATAAATCAAGAGTCAAACAACACATGAACGCTAAAATCATAAAGCTTTTAGAAGAAAACACAAGAGAATATCCTTATTATTTAGAGATAGGCAAAGGATTCTTAGAACACAGAAAGCAATAACCATAAAAGAAAAAATGGATATATTTGGGCTTTATTAAAATTTTTAAAAACATCTACTCATAAAAAATAACATAACCAAAATGAATAGGCAAGTCACAAACTGGGAGAAATTATTCACAAAACATGTATCTAACATAAAACTGATATCCAAGATATATTAAGAACACCTACAACCCAACAAAGAGAAAATCACATTTTTTAATGGATGAAAAATTTGGACACTTATAAAAAGTTTATGAATGGCCAACACACATATTGAAAGAGATTAACTTTCCCAATTTGTCACTGGGAAAATACAAATTACAATGAGCTACCACTATACTCCACCAGAAAAGCAAACTTTTGAAAGACTGATAATATCAAGTATTGACGAGGATGAAGAGCAACTGAAACTCTTAATATACTGTTTTCAAGGGTATAACAGTACAATTGCTTTAGGCAGAAGTCTAGCGGTTTATTATAACGCTAAGCATATTCCTAACATAGGACTCCACACATTACATATTTACCCAGGAGGAATTAAAACATATGTGCATAAAAAGATTAATGTAACAATTTTCACAGCAGCTTTATTTATAACAGCCCAAAAGTAGCCCATGTGTCCATCAATAGGAAAATGGATAAACTGTGGGATTTTCAGTTAGATACTACTCAGCAATAAAAAGGTATGAACTATTCGTATATTCAACAACAGATAAATCTCAAAATATAATATGCTGAATAAAAGAACCTTACATAAAAGTGTATGCAGTAATCTATGGTAGAAAAAAAATCAGAATAATGGCTGTCTCTTGGGGGTAAATGTGAGAAAAGGCACAACGAAACTTTCCAAGATGATGGTAAATTCTGTATCTTGAAGAAGTTTGGAATACACAGATGTATGCATTTGTCAAAATTCAGCAAATGTTCACATCAGATTTATGACTCATACTCCATATATATTTTACCTCAAAAGAAAAGAATAAACATTGAG